GCAATCGATAAATGAAAGCTTTCGCTTAACCACAATCAGCCAGTTAAGAAGGAGCTTCAATTCTTGAGAAGGACCTGGTGAAGATGCTCACACCAGAGTCATTTATAACACACCGTAATACCAGAGTGAGAAAAATAATTATTAGAATATTTAATCATAATAATGCACAAAAAATAATATCAGAGTAATAACATCAAAAACAATAATAACAGTTATAAAACAGCATGTATGGTCTAAGCCAATAAGGAGAACATCCTGCCAAGTGTTAATTCTACTGTTTAAAGCATTCTGAATTAGGAGCCTGTATTATTTTAAATTCTACTTTAGCCTGTTCCAATCTCTGTCTGCTGAACACAGACATGAGTGACAACCCAAAGACACAGAAATTCATAGAGCGCCGCCAAATTGAACAGCTCTTAACTTGCACAACGAAAAGAGAGATAAAGTATAATAGGGGACATTGGAATGTGCAAAGATCTCACTGAAAGGTTTTCGTATTAGTTTACAACTAAAGAATTTGGTTTCTAACTAAAGAACTATCCTCAGTTCTGAATCTATAAAGACTGGAATAATACTTGTCTTCTCTAAATATCCAGCTGTTTTTGTAATGCTTGCCACAATTTCTAGCTGCAAAACTGACACCTAAGGTTACAAAATGACTGAAGCTTGGAGTAAGCTTTGTCCTGCCTTTGGGATTTTAAAAATACAGTGAACACAAAGTCAAAAAACAAAGGAGTACACTGGAGTTTAAACTTTTGACGGACTTACCTATAAACTCTCCTGTTTCCTCTCTTCTTGCAGCTTCAGCGGGAAAGAAGAATGAATATCTTGCATCACAATGACTGTGATACAGCTGCATTCATCAGTCTGACATTCCTGCCTTCTTATAATCAGAGACTCTGATTAAACAATCTAATGTGCATCCTTGAAGTGTTTCTGAGCAATGAAAATATTCAATTAAGGATATCTTATCTAGAATTGTTTAACTATAATACTGTATGTCTGATGCTTCCTGCTTCCTTAGACAAGGAGGTTAGAAAACTGATGAATGGAAGTCTGATGCCAACTGTGTCATTTCTCACTGGCCAGATCGTGGGACTTCTCTCCAAATAAGGTGTAAGAGTGTGCAAGCAGCGTGAACTGAAATATTTGCAGCCCAGTCCCATCCCTTCCAGTCAAGGCTATGACGATGATAGCATGAACCAGCATGATTGCATGAACCACATCGTAGATATCGTTGTACTAGCCTGAAGAGTTTTCAGCAGGATTCTGATTTGGGGCTCACTCTGCCTAGGGAAGGTCAGAAGAATTTGTCTGTATCCATTTATATCCATCTATACCCCGGGAATTGACAGTCCCTTAGCTGAACTGTTTTTGTGAATTGCCAGGCCACCGGGACATGTTCAAAACCCCACCATATTAAACTGTGCGTGTTCCATATGGAGGTGATGTCTGTTGTGTCAGGAAAGAGCACAGGACAAGAAAACAGCAGGGCCTGGTAGCTCGACCTTGCATAGCACAGAGGGAGAAGGTTGATACTCATTACAACATGGGAAGAAATGCAGATTCCACATTTCATTCCATAGACCTAACTTGGAACGTTGTGCTCAGTTTCAGTCATCATAATACAAGAGGCGCATCACTACTGTTGAAGTAGTACAATGTAACCGGACTAATGCATGGGTAGCCTATTGCTGCTTTGGTATACCTAAGCTGCTTTGATTCAGAACACTCTTTGTAGGAATGATATCCCCCCAGCAGCTCAGCCTGGAGCCCACAAAGAAACCCCAATTTTAAATCTAAGACATAGTAAATAATGCTATTTCAGGGAGATATCGCTGTGACAACCACCTAGCCTTCCCCTTTCAAGCATATGATCATCACCACATGAATAAGCACACGTGCTGTTGGTCTGGCAGAGCAGACAGGAAAACTCACCTCTGGGATGGCCAGGGGTGATGGGAAAGGTCCTAAAGTCTTACCGGAAATTGGCTCGCAGAGCCCTGGAGTTGAAGGGCAAGTTACTGAATATGTGAATCTAACACCATACCGCCAGTTTGTAGATGTCTTGAACTTATGACCTGTAGAACAGAGCTCAAAATGTAGCCTGGCTCCCTGTCTTTGTGGAGGGAGAAGGTCATACTATTCACCACCCAGTTAGTCAACAGTACAAGCACAGTTTAGAGACCACTTTTGTTACGGTATTTTGCACTAAAGCTTATAAACACCTTGTCTAATTCCTTATACCTAGTATGCCAATGTCAAGGAAGCATTGGAGAGTCAGCCTACTGGTAGGAAGGCTCAGAATGTACTGCTCCTTGGGGTAGCAATCATCAAATGAAAAGAAGCTGGTGAACGTTAGAACATAATATGAAAGCTTTGATACAACGTATTCACCTCTGCATCTTGGAATAACATTGGGGTTGGTTAGAAAAAGCGACATATATCCTTTTACGATCATTTTATAATCCTTTTGCATTAAGAATGCAAGTTTATTTCCCGACTTCACTGCGGTTTGGAAGAACTACAGGGTTCTACATTGATTTCTATCAACAATGGAGGTCGAGTTAATCTTTCAGTTTCTCTTATCTGTACTGAAGCTTTGTCTGTTCAGTGTGTGATGTTCCTGAATCATGTTATGAAAGTGACAATGAGAGGTACGAGGCACTGTAGCCTCTGTGGAGAGCATGGTTGCTTTGCAGCACCAGGGTCCTGGGTTCGACTCTGGAGCTGGGGTTGCTAGCTGCCTGGAATTTGTATGTTCTCCCTGTGCTCATGTAGGTTTGCTCTGGGTGCTCCAGTTTCCTCCACAGTCTAAAGATGGATTACCGGTAGGTTAATTGGCTTTTGCAAAGTGCCTCTGGTGTGATTGTGTGTCTGTGTGTGCCCTTCAATGGACTGGTGTTCTGCCAGAGGCGTATCCTGCCTTTCGCTCAGTGCTTCCCAAGATTCGCTCCGGCTCCCCTGTGATCCTCCTGTCACAATGACTATGAGAGAACAACTTTCCTGGCCTGACTTGCTTGAATGTCCCAGAAAGACAGGTGGAATCAGTGATGGGCACATTTTCTTTTGATTAATGCACAAGATTCATATTGGACTGTAATAAAACAATACTTATCCCATATATATGTTATACTAATTATTTTTTGGAAAATGGACTCCGTTATCTGCGCAATGAGTTCTTTGAATAATAACCAACTCTATGGCTATGGGAACATGTCTATCGGCTGTTAATCCCACTCTTTTTCAGCCCTTGCTCAATAGTAACTCTATGCCAACTCCCCCTTTTAAGATATGGTCCTTGAGGTATGACATAATCAAATCAATAGATTTCTTGATAACTTTGAAATCTCTCAGTTGAGGGTTAGTTCCAGCCATAGCGCAGAGTTTGGTTACAATACCAAACAATTTACTTAAGAACGCAGATTCAGGCGCTGTATCCATTTGGGTGGTTTCTGGTGCTGACGTTGCTTTGTCTTCTTCGAGATCAATGGCAATGCATGGACTCAAGGATATGTGAGGAAAGCAGGTTTAGAATTAGGTTTTCATTCAGGCCAGAAAACTGTGGACACACTACTTTACATAGAACATCACAGGGATCTGCAAAAATACCCTCCGTGTTGAAGCTGCTGGTTCAATGGCATCCTTTAAGAACCTCTCAAAGGAATTCTTGGATCATTGAGCTACTAACAACTAAACAAACAAAATGAACTGAATGGCCTCCTCTTTTTGTGACACGACACTGCTTATGTTCTTATGGGCTTAATTGGTCAACTTAAACATTTCCAAGGATAGTTGATAATTGACAAATCTCAGCTGAAATGAGAAGAACAGACCTTTGAGAAATGTAAGCAGTTGTCTGTGCTGGTTACATTCAAGACTAACGGATCCACTCTGTGTTTGTTATCAAAAAGCCTGCTTTATATGCGCCAAGCCTAATCCAAGGCCAGCTAAGCAATATATCACAATGCTAAGGCAAAGAAAAACACTCTTCTTCCATATTGCTGCATGCAAAGGAATCTTTCCTCTTTCAGTGATTTATGTATATTCAGGGTCAGTTTTAGAAACACAGGCATTTGAAATTCTGTTATCCTTATATCTTTACGGAATATAAAACAACAAAAGCACTGCTTATTTCCACTGAATTAAAATCGAATTAAAGAAACAAACCAAGAAAAAATGCTCATCTTTTTCTGCGTAAGACTTGTCTGTAGAAGCAACGTGACCTTAGGAGATCTAGAACAGCAGAATCAATAGGAGTGAGAATGAAACATGAACCTCTCATAACTACAAAAGCCTCCTTCAATTATCTTATACTCTGATGTTTATATTACAATGTATCATACAGGATGTCAGAAATAAAATATATGATAAGCATATAAAAAACATCATGCAATGCAAGTATGACTTGGGGAAGTGAGGCACAGATTTTGGACATTGATTAAATATTTTTGATTCATTGAGCCATCATGGTTGAACGGGTTACATTTGAGTGACTTTGACTATTCCATAAGTGTTGCATACCCTCATTAGGAAGTGCAGGGTACAGATGATGGGGTGATTTGACCTGCCAATTGTCAAGCCTGGCAAATACTTGAAAAGCCAATCTCAAACCAATATGCCAAGCTTATCAGGTGAAAAATGATCCCCTACCAATGGTATGCTGGAAAACATTTTTTTTTTTACGAATGCCCCAAACATCTCCCTCACCACTCACTGAAACACAAAGTGGGTCCTGTCAAAATAGGACTTCTGGTGACTTCCAAAAAAAACATCATGCTTTTGGCAAGAGCTGCAGGTACCTGGGACGGTTTCTCTTTTTTTTTGTTACATAAATTAAGGCCACTCCCGGAGAAAAAAAAAAATAGTCAAAGGAAAGCCTCCTCTTTTCTGGACTGATGGGTGTTTGTCCTTCAGATTCACTTAAACTTCTCTCGCCACACAATGGGCAGCAAAGCAGGGAGCTTTTTAAGCAAATGTCTCGAACAAAAGGCACAAAATGACATTGCCGAATGTTTTATTCTTCCTTATTCCTGAAAACACTAATTGAACCCCCCCCCCCACGTACACACACTCACCACTTTGCACACAACAATTCGATCGCCAAGGACCCCCGAGGATCAATGGTACAGGTTGCGTAAGTAATTTCAATCTTGAATTAGATCGAGCACAATTAGCGGCGGAGCTACAGAATACGAGACAGCGGAAAGGAAAAATGGAACAGGGCAGGCAGCAGTGGCAGATGTTCTGCAATTTCTGTCACTTTTCAGTGCTGGGAGTCGGCCTGGCTCAGTAATCGATGGTATTCTTTCAGCCTGAAAATCAGACGAGAAGAAGAAAAAAAAAAGGAATATAATGACTCCATGAATTAAGGCTGGTTTAGCCGTTTCAAATTCTTCATTTGCACCCTGCATGTTGCGACCTAAGTCTCTGCTAAGATCCGCCCCCCTGGAAGCACCATCCAGTTCTCCAGCGGTGGCACTGTGCCACACTGACAGGGTGTCCTCCCGTTCGACTGGTTCATGCGGAGCCCACAGGACAGCTCTGCCCAGTACAGAATACAGGAGGACCTACATTACCGGAGCACAGCCAGGGCTACCGTATGTCGATTAATGAATAGAAAACTTGCTTTCAGTGTTCAAAAGGAAAAATATCTATTCTTAAAAACAGAGGGCGCTTATAATCGATAGCTCAACATAAGACGTAATTCACATATTTCTTTGTTTTATATTTACTGTTTTGCTCGACTTAAAATGTAAAATTTCTTACCAGTTTAAACAGTGGACAAATTAACTCTAAGTGTTTTTTCCCCCCCGAGACAACCCTGAGATGATATTTTTAAACAGCACCATTTTCCCATGACAGTACAATCTTTTTCACGATGAGACAAACGTAGCCTGAGCGACCAGTGACTCATGTCTGGAGAACTGAATGTGCTTATTCCGAATAAAGAAACAATCCAATCGCCTTTCTATCACTGTGTATCGAGGTTTTAACATTTTAGCAAGTCTTACATCAGCACAAAGGCAACTGAACAGGGTTTGACACAACACTCTGAAGTGAGTCTTTGCAAAACCTTTAAGACGTATTTAAATCCAGGGACAGTTCCTATTCCTCAAAACGTTTTTCTCTGCAGTCAGACATAACTGCGGGTCTCAATGGAAAGCAAGAGGAAAACAGCTCTCCTTAAGCAAACCTATCCTTTTTCTATCATCACCTGCCTCAGCACATGTAGGATTACCCATGTAATTTACTGTGGGCCTCCACAGGCTCCTGCTTTCAGAAGCTGAATCCTGAAGGAGGGTGAGTGGGGTTGTGGGTTTCTACCCCTGGCTTGTGTCTCTCCCTTGCTGGGAACGCGTGTCTCAGACAGAGAGGCCCGACGAGCTCTGGTCTGGGAGTCACTGACCTGACAGCATTGATCTTGATGAAGCCGGATGCATCGCAGGGATCGTAGTCTCCTTGCACATCCATGCTGAGGAGAAAAGAAAACACCGAACAGGCTCATATTAATATTAATTCTGGCAAAAAACAGCTGACAACTGGCCAGTCAGTGGGCCATCCAACATAATGCAAAGGGACCTTTCAATCAGCCACTTGTTATGACCTATAGGAAACAGCACATTTGCAAAAAACAAGAAAGAAACTGAACCAAAGGTGTTTTCAAATCAGATGCAGACTCTGCTGCAGCCCCTGTGACAATGACACCCCCTTGAAATATTCTTACTTGCACTACTTACAATATTTTTTTTTACTGTACCTCCGAGCGGCACTTTTATACACTACTCCAAGTTAATTGCGTGATCATTAGCAGCGTTAAATGGGCTTTCGTTTGCTGTTACAGTGCAATAAAATTTGAAGTGCTTATATAACAGCGACAAACACCGTCCATGACAAATGAAAGCTTCACATCTCCCGGCCCTTGTGTTGATTTACATGTTTTATATTTTCCAAGAAAAAAAAAAGCCCCGAAAGAAATGAAGCACCAACCCCGTTTGCTACCCAAACTTCCAAGTTATACCAACATTTAAGAGTCAAGGTTGTGCCTTTAATGAACTGGTTTCCACCTGGGAAAAAAAAAAACAAGGAACAAAAGGCATCAATTTAAAAAGAAAAGGAAAAAAAAACCAATAAAGGGTTTAAAACCAATTGGAACTTCCCGCAATTAATAACAAAAAAAAAAAAAAATCAAGCTTTTTAATGTTTTAAACTAAGAACCTTCAACTTAAGCACTCTTTTTTTGGTGTGGAATTTTCCATTGACGTTGTTTGTGACTGTATTTTTTTCCTTTCATGTTAAGTGTGTTGTTCCTCTTTCCACTGAGTGTGGTGCACATTGACCTTGGTAATTCTGGCCTTTTGTATTGGAATAGCATTAACGAAAGTCGGAGCGCTTGCGGTTGGGAGTGCACTGTTTGGTTGAAAGGAGCTCCAGATTGAGGTTTCAGGTGTAAACAGCAAGACAGTCAACACAAGGTTTTCTTTTCTCCGATTGATGTGCATACAATGAACAGAAATTGACAGCTTTTTATCCCTGAACCTTTATTTCCCTATGCACTCCTTCGTGCCTGCCTTTCTCTTCTGCAACAGTAGATCTACAACTTTATCCCTTCAACTTGTGATTGCTATTGAGAAACGGCAATCTCCCTCCTTTCTTTTTTCAAACTCTTACAACTTCTCAAAGCCGATCAAGTTTCCTACTTCTAACAAAAAACCACTAAGTGTCTTGACCTTTGTAAAAACAAAAACCACCTCAAAACTGATCAGCTCGAAGAAACACAAGCAGCAGAAAAGGAAACTGGAATTTTATAACTAAAATCATTTTCTGCAACAATGAAAAAAAGATACTTCCAAGGACATACACTATGTGTAAATGAAAGCCATAAAGACCTTTATTTTTAATAGTTGCTGAACTGTTATGTTCATAGGGTCAAACGTTTATATCTGGATAAATAACAAATAGGGAAGCTGAGCTTAGAGTATGTGCTGCTGAGGTTGTAAAGATTTTGTTGATTGTGCCTAGGTACACCATGCGAGTGTGTTTTTGTCCTATAGACAACAATGTAATTTTTATCAGAATAACCTAAAGGGAGACATTTTCCAATTCTCTAGAATCTTGCAGAGAACTGGGACATTGCTATAGAAATCTTAAGTCATCTGTAGGTTATTTTCATTAGGGCAGCAATATTGATAACAAAATATTACTGCCAAAGGAGACATGTACAAATACAGTACATCCCAACATCCATGCATACAATACATAATGCATGTGTATATCCAGCTGCTTACGAAGAGAAACTTTTAAAATGGATTTTCAATCCAAGCTTTCTGTAATAAATGGTAGCACAAAACTACACAGGTCCCTCTGGCCATTTCTGAAGAAACCAGAACACATCTTCCGCAAAAACTGTGCTCTGCCGCTAACCTGAAAGTCGTGGGCTCACTTTGCTGATTTGCCTCATTATAAACTGATGCCAGGGAAGCTAGGATTCCTCAAGACGGAGGAACAGCACAGTTATTATAGAAGATGAAAAGGTGAGCTTTCTGTCTTGTCCCGTATACATTTGAGAGCAGCCCAAGTCAGCAATGTTGTCACACGCATTATCAACAGGAGCTTTCACGCAACATCCAGCCTCACAGCTGTAGTGTACTGCCTCGGCCCCATTTCAGTTTGCACACCAGAAAATGGTTAAACGTTTATTCTCCTTGAGCACCCAGAGAAGGGGGTCTGGCTCTTAACTGCTAGAAGCCGAGTCCTTTCATGAAAGAGCCGGACTCCCTTTGTCGCTGCGACAAAGGGGAACCGACCGGAAAAAAAAAAAACTGACTCTTCACACAAAGCGTTTTCACCTCCCGAAGCTGAAAGGGGAAGTAAGATGCTCTCTGAGGGGTTAACAGAATCCAGTACGTGTTGAAGAAGGTGCAGACACAACACTTAGGGTAATCTCCACTACATGGGTTTTTAGAAAACCGTTTGAAATTAATTCACGCTAATTATTCTCCTTCGTGCCTCGCATTCTCTTTATATCAGTCCCCCCTTTTCTCGAAACTCTGCTTTTATTTTTGTGCATTACCGGCGCTTTTCTGTCCCCTTCTTCTCCTTTCCCTCCTTCAGTGTGTCTCCTCTCTATAATTACGGTAGTTTCTACCCACTGCGCCAAAGCACTTTTACCCTGTGCTAACTCTCGCCTGCAACTAGGCTGCTAATGTGACGCCGTCACTCAAAGCCTTTAGGGCGCAGTGGCGTAGAAATCAAAAGAAGCCGAAATAAAGACCGAGACGGAGGTGGGGGAGAGAGAAGGAAAAAAGAGAGGGAGAGGTAGCGATATCTGGAAACTCGGCAATCTCTTGTTGCAATCCGTATAAGACCTCTCCCTGCACTTGTCTTCTCCAACTTTTCATTTCCCTTCTAGCGCGCAGCACTAGATGGTGATAGAAAAAACAGGGTTGTTATTAAACACTTTTTCAGTGGATAATAAAAAACACACACACACACACTGAGCCGGCTGAAAAAGCGACACAGATTACTGTGACATTTCCACCTCCTCAGTAAGATCAGTGCTGTGTATTCTGAATATTAACCTTGAGGCGGAAAAAAAAAACTTATAGGAACTTAAGGGGCTGGGGGGGTCAGGTAGGCGGGTGAGAAAAAAAATCAACAGCAGGGTAATTTAAACGAATAGGCGTTGCGTTTAGATACTGGAACCAGCCTGCCTGAAATGATAACTGGAGAGAGATTTGTGCGCTCGATATTTAAGCTGAAAGTAAATCTGTCTTTGCTAAACGGCTCAATACATGATATTCTCTTGTTCTCTCGAATTAAACGACGGGACTGTGCTTTGAATATTACACACAGCTGCATCCTCCGCTACCATCAACCGCTGGGACTGTGCTCAACTGCAGCAGCGCCTAAGTCTAATTAGGCTTCGTCTACGGCTGCTTTATACAGGTAGCTAACAGGGAAATTTAGGAACAAGAGAAAGGTGCTGCAGAGGTTCTCAGTGAATCGGCGTTGTGCTGTACAACTGGAGTCCCCTAGACAGCAAGGTTAAACGGTAGAGACATTTAATCCAGAATGAGAGGCAAAGGATTACAATGATCTTTTAATGATATTTCTATTACACGCTAATGAAAGAATTAAATGTCCTACACAACACGTCATAAGGGCACTCTCTAATATACATTTTCCAAACTTGTATTTCCCTATGAACAGTGGCGCCAGGGAGGAAGCCTGAAACCCACCACTTTCAGAGTCCAGAAAACTCCGAAAATGCTCGATAAATCTGCGCGTTGCGCGTTATCGAGGGAAGATGGTAAAAGAGTCCGCCTTATTACCGACCCTCTCAGGCGCCAGACGTTCAAACAGGAAAAGAAGGGACAGAAACCAGATAAGTCACAGACTGATTGACGTCGGGCTCCCCCTGACAGACCCAGAGAAACCACACATGTTTACAAGCGGCTGCTGAATTAACGCGATACTTTGCTGGCATTGATCTGTGTTGTCAAATCTTCCTCCTTGGGGTTGCTCTCATAATAGTCGCTGCAATGCTTCCAATATTGATCAGAAAAGTCATAATGATTACAGCTGTGCATGGAGCAAACATAAAGAAGTCAAGAGCTTCAGGGAAACTGCCGTGTGTGCTGTCATTGTGCCCTGCACACACTTCACCAGCAGTTGCTGGAGGTCATTCTGCTCTTCTGGTAAATACTTGTCTAACACAGGAAGGCAGGAAGAGGAAGGACAGACATGGCATCACTGCAGAGGATTAATAAGGAGAGCTCATTACGGACAGAAGCAAGACCACTGTACACAAACCTGTGCTGGAGAAAAATATCCTGAATGTAACCTAGATATTTTCCAAGGTGCTCATCCTTCTCGTGTTTGACAACGCACGTTCTTTACTTTTCTGTGTTCAAATTAAACGCGTTAGACACCACGGCCTCTGTGACTCTCTCATGGTATCAGGCACACTCTTTAAGATTGATCGAGGCCTTCTCAGCTGGCAGGAAGAAACGGAGAGGGTGAATGAGATTTGGATACTGTGCCTAAAATCACTTCCCTCCTCGAGAAGCCATTATTTGCCTTTGATTGTAACAGGATTGTTCACAGCACATTATCCACCTCCACTCTGCTGTCCCTAAATTCTACCCTCAGGGTGTCCCAAAGCACAGCCCTGCAAGCGATATCCCGCCGTCAAACAGTCCATTAAACAGTGTGTCCTGGAGGTGAGACAGGCCTTCATCTCTCCAGCTCCCTACTTAACAAGCATGAAACAGCCCCTTACCTGAAACAATCAGGCCCTTTTCTTTTAATTGCGAGTTAGCTTTGAGAAGGAGGAGGGATTGTGTGGCGGAGGGAGGCTTTGCTGTGGCCCCTACACCGCTGGCCCGGGGGCGAGGGGCTGGCAGGGGCATGAATGAGCTCAGTGTTACAGTGCTCAATATCTGCAGAGCCACTTACATCCAGCGGCTGGGAGAATTGGTTTAGGCTAAGGGCCTTCAGTTCCTTCTTTCTGCGGGACTTCCTGCGGTGGAGTAGAGGGGTTTATCGCCACGTGTAGGGCGGACATTGGAATTCTTAACCGCGCTGATCCCTGGGGACACACCCAGCACCACACACCACACCACACAACGTAGACAGTGCATTACAAGCATAATAAATAACAACAACAGGTGGAATACATACATACTGTATGTTGCGGACAAGAAATAGGTCGTATTGAGAGAAAAAAAGAGCCTGTTAACTCTGAAGCAGTGCTTCCACGCCCTGGTCTTCGGGACTGGGATGGTCAGATTCCACCTTTTAACATCGTTCCATCTGTCTTTACGCATTTAATTTTTTTTTATATGGACATATTCAGGTCGTACCTTAGTGCCTTATTCAAATTCATTCATCGGCCAGCAACCCATCTCATACCATGGCGTTCAGGCTGCTGGTTCGCACGTTAAACACTTCTCCAGGACGGGGTGAGTAGGAGGCACGGAGGACTGCTGGGAGTTCAGTCCGGCGGCACGTGTCGGGATGGAGTTTTCACCAGTGGGGGCTATTCCGAACTGTCCCTCGGGACTTCAGTGTTGTATCCCCCGCCCATTCATCCATTTTGTGACCGCTACATCCCATACAGGGCCGCAGGTGCGCCGGAGCCTCTCCCAGCAAGCAACAGGGCAGGACGGGACCGTGGGAGGAAACCCCCTCACGCAAAACCCGGGGAGAACACGCAAACTCCACACAGGCAGCAGCTCAGGATTGGAACCCCACAGCGCCGCCCGTGGTGGTAACACTGTACCGGTACGTCACTGCCCCTGAAAACGACGACTTTTCGCGAGCCATTCTAAGGGCGGGGGTAGAGGACAGCGCTGCGCTCCTTCTCACCTGACCAGCTCCTCGTTGTACAGGGATTTGCGGGACTCCCGGCCCAGAATGTACACCTGTCCCTTGAGGACGGAGACCTGAACCTTCCCCTCCACGTTCTCCTGGGACTTCTGGATACAGTGGCGCACAAACTCGCACTCCGGGCTGTACCAGAACCCTGTGGAGAAAGTAGGGTCAGACAGCTCAGTGACAGACGGCGGCCACACATAAGAAACGTGATGCAACCATTCCTTTCGTGTGACACAATGCATATACAGTAGTAACGCATCAGACGACTTAAACACATTAGATACAAGTATCCTTCAACAGCCACAAAAAATACACCAGGACAGAAAAATGTTGCGACAAGACACGGAAATGTACTGTACTTTTACGCTGGAGCTGAGCTATCACTCTGGAAAAAGAAATACCACGGACACACTAACATAATTAAGGTAGAACAAGGCAATCTGATACTTTAACACGGGGAGAGGGAGCTCATTATACAAGTTACTGCCCAGCCCCCTACCCCCCACCCACTTTGTGACAAAATAAGTAGTTGATCTGACTCACTGGGGAGATTTGAGTTTAAGCTTCAACCCCCCTTTTATCAGCTTAGTGAATCAGGCACATATGCTCAGGGTCTCACATGTGGGTGCCTGTTTCCTGTTGCAGGTACAGCTCTCTCTCCTCTTTCTCCCCTCTGCCCACGTCCCTTTGTAACCCTACCAGCGCAGCCGAGGAGACAGCTGGGGCTGTCAGTGTCTTGCTCATGAAAGAGGGGCTTTCTCTCGGCACATCTGCCCTGCTACCTGACTCCCGCACACCAAGCTGTTTCTCTTTGTACGAAAGCAAGGAGAACGCTCCAGGATAAAAAAAAAAAAAGAAAGAACATGCGAGTTGCTGCATTTTGAAGGCTTTCTAAAGCCAGCTGTTTTTACAGCCTGTCTCTGTCCTCCTCGCAAGACTACTTGCTGATAAAAAAGATTAACAACCAAGATTGCCAGCTTCCCAAAGCATTTGTCTTTTTCCCCCACACATCTTTCAAAAAGGAAACACAAAATGCAAATGCTAGCGTTTCAGCTGCCAGTTTGTAATCTTAAACAAACCTCCTGACAGATGTATGCACTGCTTTATAATTCCTGAGAATTGCTTGCTAAAAATGAATTCCTAATAATAATTATTAGGACAAAACAGGTGTAAAACCACCATGCAATCTGCCCCATGAGAAAGCGATCTACTACCAAATTATCCCCTTATTTTGGAATTTTGGAATATGGCTATAAAATCTGATTATACACAATCTGAATTTATGTCATCAAGGACATGTGCATATTTTCCTTTCAGCATGGAATAAACCTTGGAATTTAGCAGCTTTTGGGACACTCTCAAGACAGGTGTAGAAATGTGCTCATAACATCCCCCACACAGAAGACTACAATCTATCTTCATAAGAAACCATCCACAAACGGACGAGTATGTAAATTTAAGCGGATCTTTCAATGGTTAGGATTTGTGAAATATTATCCCAAATGTTGTCTCAGTAACTACATACTGTACAAGACATTCCAGTCCCTACCCCAGATACTAGCTGCTGATGATGGATGTATATGAAACCTACAAAAGAAAACATTAATAGAGGAAGCCAATTCCTTGGTTATGCGCACAAGGTACAAGGTACACAAGACAGAACAGAAACGCACACACAAAGGACGAGAGAGAAGAGCCAGGATGTTTGTATTGTGATTGCAGAACACGCACAGGCCACCTTCGTGAAGCCTGCCTGTATGAGAGAATAACCAGACCACCTCTTCCGTGATTTCATCCGTCTACTGAATGCTAAACTTACTTGTGTAATTGTGGGAGCAAAACCATTTCCGTCCACAAAATCAAAGAAACGTCTTCATATCAGATCTTGAGATCTATGTGGCCAATCCCACCTTTCTTCAAGTGGGTGACAACGTACAGGTAGCATCAGTGGTAAACCAGACAGACAAAACCGCAAAACACAGGCAAGGAAATAAAACGGAACATTTGTCCGAGCCAAGCCACCTGCAGTTCTTTTACACTGTATTTAATACTCAATCTCTTCCCTTTCCATCTGAATTCCCAGAGTATGAAACCATCCTAAAGGTCTGTGGAGGAAGGCTTTCCCTCTAATGTGTCAGTCCAAATAAAAAAATAATTAAAAATGAAAGTAAGGTAAGACTATCCTTACTGATCAAAGGTTTCAATGCAAGCATTACGCGATCAATGTTCAAAATATGCATTATTGAGATTAACCGTGTAGGTCTTGTGGATCAGACGAGATTAGTTGCATGGGGACACGGGTGTATTGCTCTTCCTGGAGAAAATTGGGTGGAAATGTATGGAAATTAAAAATACAGCCTGTCTTCTCTGCACCTGAGAATGTCTTTGTAAAGCAAGAAGCTATCAGATACCTACAGTATAAGCAGAAAAGGATGGATGTATATTCACCATTGAAGAGCACTGTAGCTTTAATCTCTGTTATCCACCCCTCTGTTTTTATTGTTAGAAACCTGTTCTTACCAGAAGCCCTTTGGTCCCATTTAAGTTTAATTGCACCTCATTCCAATCAGACTTTAATAATTGAAATCCTATTAAGAGGATGATGAGCGCTGCAGACACAATGGGATTAAAGCACCTGAGCTGAACCTGTAAGGACAGAAATAGGCTGAGCTCAGCACAACTCCAGATTGGCGGAGCGTATAAACCTGTGTTTTGCTGGCAGTCCTGTCAGAGGTCATGTCCACAAGCAGCTCTGTTCCTAAGCATCATGCTGAGTTTTTGAAACACACTGTATGCTGGATCTCAAATTCACACACAAGCTGAAAATCCTCATGTTTCGTATTTGTCTATTAATTTCAATGGAACAAAACATTTAATAAAGCCAGGACATGCTTGCCTTGAAAAAAAAAAAGAAATTAAACAGCTTCAGGGAATAAATCACATGCCTTACGATTTAACACTTCTATCTATTATCTCTGGATTTAGAGCGAAGCTTTGTATGTTCAGGTAAATTAAGATAGCACACACCAGCATAGTATGCTTCATCAGAATTAGCATAGAACTACTGTATATGAGGATACTGCTTACATGCTTAGCAACATACTCACAATCTTTTCCACCTCACTAGACATTCACTCATCTTTGCTAGCTCCTCATTGCCACAGTTGTGCAGTACCACAAAACTAGAGCAGTCAGCTGCCCATGTACTCTCAATCATACATCACAGTAAGTGTGGTTCGGTTTTCCACTATAAGATAAACAAGAACAATGAGAAACTGCCACACATCCTGAGTTGTCTGATCTCTTACACTTGAAATAAAGATGTGGAAATGAAATAATTGGGATGCCACAGTGACATCAACTGACTGTGACTGATAGCAACCAAATTTATTTTTTTACAACACTGCAGTATCCTCACAATTCAACAGGGTGTCTTATAAAGCATTACATTCTAATGTCATGCAGATCACATATAACCTAAAAAATGACACATCATATTTGAAACTTCACATGTACTGCCGTGAAGGGTGTTTGTGCCATCAAGACATCACAAATGTCTGTGTGCATCTCAGGAAAAAAAGTGAATTTCTGTGAGCTTTTATACAAAGAAAATGTATGAGTAGGTTTGTACGTGAGCACACTTTTAATCAACTAGAGCTTACAGGAAAACAGGTGACATGCTTAGACAGTCCAATGTTTTCTTATCAAAGGCTCTGCAAACATAAAAAGTTCAGTGTTATGCTATTGTTTTTAATTAGAGTGCAGGATTATATCTGCCATTATAAACAAGCAAGTCAGAACGGCACATGGTACGTTAAGGGATTTTTTTAACATGTCACAGACCAGGCCTGCTCAGAGCACTGCAAACCTGAGGTGTATACGAGCACATTACAAAGATGATGCCACACTTTTTCTTCTTCAGAATAAAAACCATCGACAGATTCTTTTGCATTGTGACTTTTTACCCTAAGGTTTGAATTGGGATTTCCAGAACTTACGTTTGCGACCCAGTTTTGGGTTTTCTGCTGTAATTTTTTCAAGAAAGGACTTTCACTGCTGGTTTTGCAGTCGCTCTGCAGTTGGCTCAAATCTTATTTGATTCCTGAACAATTACAGAACTTGGGGGAAACTGTCACACAGACAGATACAAGTGGAAATCTGCAACATCAGATCCGACAGACCCTAAGAGGGGTGTTCGTATGCTGTATACTGCGGGCTCCACGACTGCTGGAGGAAAGCAGATTGATCCCTGCAATCTCCAGACAGAGAGGCTGTGCGTCTTTGTCAATCTGGACAGCTGGCCTCAGTCTGCCCACCTGTCGACCTATCTGCGCAGGTAAGGTGGCAGCTTACCCTGGCTCCCAGAGGACTACCTGTGTGGTCAGAGAGGGTGTACCAGCCAGACTAATGACCCTGAGCAGGTGGGACCCGGCTTTTGTTCTGCTAAACCACAGGAGCACCTAATTGCCAGGTTGCTTGTTAGAAGGCCCTAATAGCCCTTCAAATAGCCATTTGTGGTCCACCCCTAAATAAGGGGATTTCGTCCTGCAGGGTAATTGTTTTAAGAACAAACAGGCATGGAACAGCCATAATGCCCCCCCCTTAACACACAAACACAGACAAACTCCCTAAGATGGATAAAATCAGAGTTAGGGGAAGAATAAAAAGCAAAAGTGTTTAAGTAGGAAATGATGCATAAAAACTGCTATGATAAGGTTCTTCCACATGTGTAGTGTATTGTGACAAGTAACAGATGAGCTCTCAGTAGGACAAATCACAGACATCAGCCCCTGACACGTTTCCCCCTTTTGTTTTTCCATGTAGCACGCTGTGGGTTCTGTTCATGAGGCAATTTCTGCCATGGTACTGCACGTTTTCTAGCACTTTTAATTTTTAAAAATGAAAGATTGAAATGCAAATGGCTTAAAAGTCACAAGAAAAAGTTGACGGTGCCCTTAAAGCAGTAAATCGTTTACTACTTTTAAATTTAAAACTTTACATTTAAATTTCATACTTTTAAGTTTAAAACGCCAAGGCGTTCAAACTTCGGTGTATCAGCCCGATTGGGTGGCAAATGTAGTTCATAATCTGGCAATTAATGAAGCAAAATGACAGGCTGATATTTATTCACAACCTGTACCTCCAAGACATATCCAGAATATCAATATCTAGATATATAAATATCATAAATGTATTATTTTAAGTATTTATTTTAAATGTATTATTTCAAATGTAAGAGGAACTGAATAACACTGTCCCCCATTTGTACTAATATGCAGACAGTAATAATCCTACAAAATTTACCTGACAACACAGCAAGCAGCACCAACGTTAACAAAGCGTATCCAGTTTAATATGAGATATATCAATCATCTCTACTGGCACAAATACAAACTATTGGGAATTTTATCTTACTTTTAGCAGGAAAAAATGTATTAACTAGATAAGACGGAGTTTGAAACCAAGTGAACAGAGAAAAAATACCCAAGAGGAAGATTTTCTATAAAGCACTACATGGATGTGAAAGATGAAATGCTTACAAGGCTTATCAGGTGACAGCAATGGGTAGGATAACCATGTACTTTCTGCGGGTTGTAGCAGCGAGGAAAAAAGAGACAGAAATATGTAATAAAAAAAGAAGTATAACTCAAAGCCTTGGAAGTCTTAATGATTTGGGGTCATTTTCATTAGGCTTCAAGTCAAGTCTAACTCTAAAAGTCCTAGCTCTTGAGCTCAGTCAGGTATCAAGTTAATTTGTTCAAATGTCAAGTCAAAAAAGACACCAGAGTTAAGAGTTAAAACATCAGCTGATTAAACTAAGATCACCGTTTCAGTATTTTGGTTATACTTTCAATTTTTATCTGGGCTTGCGCCTTGGATAAATGTTGTACTATCCCTCATGAGACACAAATGCTAAAACTAAATCAGGTCTACCTAGACATCAAATTCTAATTTAAGCATATGAAAATCACTGTAGCACCAATTTTGCTCCTAGCTTTATGGCTTTGCTAACCTTAGCCCAAGCTCATCCCAAACCCCAGGAGACAGGTCCAAAGTATTCTCAACAATACCTCAAGCAGGTATTGTTGAAAATTGCTCAAGCAGTTGTGGGGACACCTTATGGCAATTAACACTGTATTTCACAGACGGTGCTCGCTCTTTAAAAGGATTCAGAGAGAATATCTCCATATCAACTCATCATCATCATCAATTTGACCATTCACCTGTCCTTGGGTTTCCTCACAGAAGTCTCTGACTCCACCATTTTTCTTCAGTTTGGCGGCCAGCTGCGCTCTCGCTCTGAGAGATGAAAACACATTCGCAAGGGTGGGAGGTGTTTTTCGCAATGCATTTCGTTTCGCCGTGGGTGTCACGGGGAAGCAAAACCCATGCAAACGGTATTCGAATGCTGCGCCAGGCCCGTTTTCCAACGGCTGCGGCGAACGTTTTGGAAATCGGCGCGACCGCGAAGCCAACGTCCTGCGAGAGTCGCGCTAGAATTGTCGGAAGGACAGGAAGGGGTCGCTCCGATTCCGCGGCTCGCGCTCCCGAACTCTGGACCGGAGAGCTGGACCCCGGCGAACAGGGGAGGGGAGGAAACTCACCGTTGTAGATCAGCTCGGAGAACTTCACCCCGAGCCCCTGCTTCAGCTTTCTCACTTCCCGGTCCATGGTGAAGGTCTCGATGTCTAGATGCGCGTGGTAGAGAATCGTCCCTCCTGGGGTTTCATAGATACCTAGGACAAGAAAAAAGGAGGGAGGCGTAAGGGGAGAAAAAAAAAAAAGAACCACAACAAAGAAAGGGGGGAAAAAAAAGCAAAGCGCACCAAATTGCCAGCGGTCTCTGACAAAAATGATCCCCTTCAGGGTGACATGGGTCCTGTCCCTCGCCCCCTTTCTCTCTCAGCTTGCCGGTTAAAAGGCAGCTGTCATTATTTTCCCGCTGAGGCTCAGACGAGTCCACTCTGGGGCCTGCGGAGAAAATTTCCAGATTCCCCATCGCTGAGAGGCACTCCGCGAGGCTAAATAACAGGGTTGGGCCGCGCAGCCTCTCAGTTCGGCGGGCCCGCAGGCCTAGCCTTTTCAAAACCCTGCAATTAAGCAACTGCTGAGGAGCGGGGAGGGGGAGGTGAGGATACAAAAAAAAAAACCCAGGAAAAATGAAGTGTGAAAATGAAGCTGTCACTTAGGTGTCTGTATATTCCGAAAAATGGGAAAAAAAAAAAAACTTTCCTCCAGGGTTTTACACGGTGTATTGGCTGATATCCCGCGCAGCACAAAAGGGCATTACAGAAAATTGCGCGGTTGCGATAGACAGTGGACGGTTGTTTTCCTTGCAGGGTGTGTTGCCATCACTGCAGCTTGCCATTTGAAAGCAAAACCGTGGTTTAAGAGGAAGATTTCTGATGCGCCGTGTGCTGGGGATCTGGCTGCTGAGACTCGCAGTTAAGTGGAGGATAGCCCAGCCTAGCTGCTGCAAGGCTCCAAACAAGCAGGCAGACTTCCCCCATCCTTCCCAGTGAAGTCACAGCCCATAATCGTTGAATTCAATTCATTATTGAATTACCAATGAGCTGGTGGTACAAAATCCTATACTCGTATCCTGTATCCTATATCCTGACACCCGAAGAAGGCTCCACAGCCGAAAAGTTGTGTTTCCCTTCGTCTCTTTGCAGCAGGGAATAGACTTTTACTTGTTCCTTTGCAGCCTGCGCATGCTGACGCAGCCCCTTACTTGAACTAAAATCCTATACTTGTCAGACCGGAAGGTGCATTCATTCACCATCCCTGAATCGAGACTGTAAAAGCTCAGGTCTGGAATATGTTTCTCAGCTTAAAAAAGCTCCCAAGGAGCATGGAACACATTCATGAAGCACTTCCAGCTCTTTAGGAAAAAAAAAAAAGAAACATTTTCACAACGGCTTTATATCTGTCCTTGCAAACCACATTGAACTTCAAGGGTAGGGCAGACAGGTGCCAGAGTCGCTCAAGGGCACAGTGATGATGAGGTTTTGAATTAACCTCTTTAGCAACAACTTTATCAAAAGCCTTCTGACAATCTAAATGCAACACAGTATATCACATGCTCTGTGGTAATGTTCAGTAAACTCCAACAAGTGAGCTTCTGAGAAGGTGTTATAATCCTGAGAACCCATGCTATAATTGCCACTTTTAGCACAGAGACCCACATCTCTCCTGTTTCTGTAATGCAAACTCAGCACTAAGGAGGCATTGCTGTAATTTTAGTCCCAGCTAGCATGCTGTTGAAAATGTCCTGTACTGTAAAAGTTCAAGAGGATGGCCCCTTGACTTTTAGTTTTAGTATATGGTGTCACTGATTCTATTCTGATAGAATATGCTATGCTTTCTCCTCCAAATTAAAAACCCACACCAGACATAAGCAAAAGCTCATCCAGGGGCATGCTCAAACCAAAGCGTAACTCATGATATTTTATGATTTTTTTCACACCTTAAAATAACTGCAGCTATGTTGGCAAAGGTATCTGTGCATTTAAGGCCCGTCCATTACAGAAAGAGAGAGATGCAGATTACACAAACGACAATGTTTCTCCACAACCAAAAATTACCCCTGAAAACTATACATTTTAACCCCAAGATGGCTACTGTAGCACTCATCTGTCCTCTGTAAAAGGTCCAATTAAGAAAAGACTTAAGAAAAAAAGCGATTCCATATTTTTTTGCCAGCTAAAGAGCAGGATACAGATTAGGAAGGTAACCCTCTTGTTTTCGGCTTTCATCCTTTATGAAACAGTTTACAGTTGTTAGGCTGGGTTTTGCAATGGACAGAGGGGACCTAAGATGAGGGTCAGTACAGAATTCCTAAAGGCAGATAGGTATCCCCTCACTGATACTCGCGTGGATTTGTATCCAATAAGCTGCCTGCACACGTCTGATACATTTAACCTATTTCTCCTTCGGTTTGCTATTCACCAGGATAGCTTCTCAGGCTAGTAATTCATGGCTCAGTTGAAGAAAAAAAATCAATCCTGTCTAAGCTACCTGCCTTCACTCACAGACTGATTCCTGCTGTCCTGTACCTGCTACTGATAATGCTTTCAGAGGCAGACTTGTATGGATGAAACTTACAAAGATTCACTTAGCCATAACACTGGCCATTACAGTCAGCCATAAACTACCCATCTCCACGGGAACTCTTTCTTCACCACAGCATTAGTCTCAAACTGGCGGTTGTCATTTCAGAGTGATGCGCCAGATATGGGATGTATGGCAGAGAATCAGCAGTTTGTCAGAGCTGGAGAAGTAATTTCACTAACTGAATCACCCCCAATCCTAGAATCTCTGGGCCCTCCATATACAATAACTGTGGCTGCAGTGTCATGACTTGTCATCCGGTGTATTGTCATTCCATGGCATGGAAACATCACCTCAGTGTGGTCTACACTAGTGAGCTTCAACACATTGAAAACACAGCCTTCTGCTGAAAGCACTGAGAAAACGAACATGGGACAAGTTAAAAACCTTCAAATAATTGATCTTGGGAGCTGGTTCTTGAAAACCACAGACCACACCGCTGTTAATCCCCTGCTTTAGAATACTGCCTCACCAGCCTGTACATACGTGTCCAAACAGAATACAAGGGACAAAACAGAGGTGTCTTGCTGGAGATGAAGAGTAATAAACTAGTTATTAATTCATGGGCGAACTGAGAACTGTATTGTTTAAATACATTACGACGACTGCCAGTTCGAAGATAGCAATGACTAATTCTCATTAAAAGACTGAGATGAATATTTTTTTTTTAATCAAGCCAACTCCCGTAACTGTTTTTTTCCCCAATCTGAGGGCCACCTGAATACAAACAGGTTAAAGCGAAGGACAGGGGTGTAGATAAGGACTGTGGCAGAGAAGAAAGCTTTTGTGACAATATGAGTTAATACTGATTGATGTCAGACTGTGTTGCAATTAAATCAGTTTTGCCAGGCATGTTTTAAAAAAAAAAAAACAGGTTGTGTCTAAAAATAAAAGTAAAAAAAAAATGTAGGAGAAGTGTATACTTTACTTTAATTGCTCACTTTAGCCGCTTGACTCATCAGAAGTAGAGCTCTTTATTGCTGCCTGCCTGCCACTCTGCAGGGGCTGTATAATGGAACAGGTAGGAAATGCATTTATTAAATTTGCCTTTATTAGCTGGCGAATTTTAATGGGCTCTTTCATAGCAGGTATTCATGGGAAACAGCATTGCAACAGTGGGGAAAGCATGGCACATAAACCATACCATTATACTCTCTTCACCCACTGAAGGAACTGGGGCACTCACAATTCACCCACCGTACACTGCTCGACTTGTGTGAGGGGACCAAGATTCGAGACAAAAGATTTTCATATCATGCCGCGCACTGGTTTCCCAATGCTGTTCGTATTTTCTGCCCTGTGCGAAGTAGTGCTGTACAAAAAAAAAATGTTATAAATGCACTGGTTAGGCTTTGGGACTGAGACTCCCCCCTAACAAACAAAACGATGATCTTTACCGTGTGTGTTTGAACTTTCTATGAAGGACTTTGCTTGGCGACAAAGGAAAAAAAAAAAACTTACTGACTGTAACACACATTTCAGATTATGATGTACCGGCAGATCTGGGAGAATCAAAGCCATACCATCCGTATACAGTACATGGAAACAAATCTACCTGGCAACTGAGGCACAATCTGTCTCCAATAAAAGGCTGGGATCAGATTTTTTCCCTCTAAAACAGAATTAATAATGCACTACCACCAAAAATGAGAGATTTCTTTTGGCCCATAGGACACCTCAAAAAGGAAACTGGTATTTCTAGGTGTATAAAACAACAGTCCCATACTTCAAACGTAGAGTGCCAAGAGTCGGTCCTTCAGTGCTCAAACTACCCTGAAGTTCTGTCTTCCTGTTCTGTGAAGAAGAAAACTCTCACCTGGCACAGCTGCCTTGACTTTCCACCCTTCCCTTCTTGTTTCCTGCCACACAGTGTCGTGCTGTGTCTTTCTATATCTTCTATATGTCTCATCCCCCGTCAAGGCTGACTTAATCACTCAACCGTTATTGGTTTTGTCCTAGTTAAAAACGTTTGTCTGGCCACGTCTCCTGCTTCAGAGATAATCAGACATTTGCTTAAAGAATGAAGTATATTGATGAGAGAACCCACACCTGGACACCCCCTGTAAGTAACGATACCATCATTTTACAAGTGTCCATAATTGATTCTCTACCACCACCTCCATGTTGGAAGATAATCATGGATTAAGGCTGAATCATGAGTGCGTTTCTGGCCCTTGCCACATTAGAATGGCCCCTCACTGCACTGCACTAGTCCCTGGATTTTGTCCTGCTTTAACAAAGAAGAGGGCAGCAGCAAACTGGAATAATGACGTGACTGAATGCAGATCTCCTGCACTGTAGCCCACTTTCAACAATGCAAATGAGCACTGGTGTAGTGCTTGTGGTTCTAACAAGGCATGGACAACAAGCTGACACAATCATTTCTGTTACAGCGCTGGAGTTGATGAATTGAGGTGTCTCTTGGATATATTCAAGGACAGCCTTCAGTTAAGTGTATTGTTTGGCATCGTCTTAATAAAGCAACAAATAAAGGCAAAGCTGCGAGCTTTTCTTTACAATCCTGCTCTCCAAATGGCTCAAGGGCCTGACTGTTTATCCTGATAATTGTTTTGGAAGGTAAAGCACAAGCCAACACAGAGAACGACTCTCGGTCTCTAAAAAG